TCTAATAGAAAACCTAGACGGCCGCCTTAAGTATTTGTTGATCTCCGAATCTAAACTACTGACCACGTTGTGCCAATTCTTTGAATACAAGTATGGCAGACTCCCGAACCCCCCAGTATGAGTCCCTGAGCATACCCATAAGATGGGGAATGACATCCTCTACGTGATCTAGAAGCCAATCTATAGGAATATATCAGCGATTTCCTAGTATTTAAGTGCAGCTAACTGACCATGTTGGGCCAACTTTCCAAACGCTGCTGCAGATCCTTCACGCGGGCCATAACGTGAGTCTTTCACCATCTCAATGAGACGGGGAATCGTGCTCTTGATCATATTACGAAGAGATTCTTCAATTTTACGTCAATATTTTGTCACGATATTAGGAAATTTGCTGACCATGGTGAGCTAGCCGCCCCAGGGCGGCGGAGGACGCTCGACGAACATCTATATCCGAGTCTTGAAGCTTAGCCACAAGTTGGGGAATGGCTTCTTTGATGGTATTGCGAAGCCATTCTAGGAAGCTGAATCAATCGACGTCCTTTGTTCAGATACAAACCACTGACCGTGCTGAGCCAGCTGTCCGAATGTGACAACGGCTTCCTGACGAATCCACCACGATGAGTCATCAAACATATCGACCAGTTGAGGGACCCCATCTTTGATCATGTCTTGGAGCCATTCTGTAGTTCTGAATGAGATATTGTGAAATCCACGGTACGAGATGCTGACCATACTGCGCCACTTGGCCGAGCAACGTAATGCCCGCCTGACGAATGTCTGGATCCTCATCTTTGAACATTTCCACAAACCCTTGAATGGCGTTTATTATCGAGTTCTGGAATATCTGTTTGGACATAGTTTGGGGCGCGTCTTTAGTTTCATGTCAAATATTTTTCTGTTCTCTGAGCGTGAACCACTAACAGTTCCGGGTACTGTACCCAAACGCCATCACCGCTGACCGACGTACTCCCCATTCTGAGTGTTCAAATAGACTCAAAAACTTGGGTATGCACTCCTCAGTGTCAACTATAGAAAGTTCTTGTAGGCAGTCTGAACAAAATGGCAGCATAGAATTGGATTGGGCTCACCATGACGTACTACTTGCCCAAACACCTTCACAGTTTCTCGGCGAACCTCAGAATCCGAGTCTTCAAGCATAGATACAAGATGGAGGACAGCATCTTTGACGAGATTATCAAACATATCTATGAAACCCCATTAATTCAAGTCTATGATTTGAACAGAGGTGCCTCACCTTCCTGTACTAATTCTCCAAGACTTGTCACAGCAGCGG